ATAGACTAAGACTAGGCAAAAAGTGAAAATACAAAAAAAACGAATGTTTAAATCCGCCTTGTAGCACTAATTAACAGTGTTGATCAACGGACAAATTTAGTGTTATAATACATGTATATGCTCCATAATAAAAATAAAGTACTTGTCCATTGAGACAACACTGCAAAAAATAATATATTCGCTTATATAGAGTAGCAGACTGTATATATTAATTTTTTTATTTTCTATATCAATAAAACTGGCCCCGGTGGCTAATTTCGCATACATAATCAGTTTACTTTTGCATGTGTATTTCGGGATTTTATTATATTGATGAATATATATGATCAATCGGCAAGTTCCTGACCATTGGTCAGGATATCACGTGTTTTATTTATGCTACGTTAACCCAAAAATTAAACAAATCGATTTTATAAAAAGTTATTACTAAAAATGCAATCCGAATTAGATTTATTAAAACAAAGAATTATTGAGCTTGAAACTGAAAATGCGGAGCTTAAGGCTAAGGAAGCGGTGTTTATGGCTAGAATAATGGAATTAGAACAAAATGCTGAAAAAGCGAAATTAAGAGATATCGAGCTCAATGCTAGAATCATGGAACTAGAACGGTCAACAAAAGAAAGTGAGAAACGATTTGCAAAATTGGAGCAGAAGCAATTGCAAAATGATGCTGTAGACAGATTAGACAATTCTTCTGAGAGTATTATTAATGCATCCGATCCTGTTATAAACCAGTGCATTGGTCATGCTAGCTCTGCTGATACCAACTCCAAATCGTTAGAGAATGATACTCCTGCATCACTTGTCCACACAGAGATTAAATCATTGAAAGAAAAGGAAATGGATGACTTTCATGATTCAGTATACAAGGAAAGAGTTAGTAATGAAATAATTCAGAGCATTAAAGAAAAGAAGCTTAGATTTCAAGACTTATCTTTGGTTAATCAATGTAAGCAAACTTGCCAAAGTAATAGTTTGTCGAAAGAATCTAAAGTTATAGAAGGCAATTCATCTATCAATCAGGATCAAACTAAAGAAAATAGGTATATTTCATTTCAGAGGTCTCTTCCATCAACTGTTCAGGTACAAGAAAGTGATATTTCTTCTAAAATAAAAATACCATATAATCAGAAAATAGAACAAGGTATAATTCAAGAAGTAATCCTGTTTATTCAAAAAGAAAAGTTACTTACCTTATCAGATGTGAAAGCATCCTCATTTCGTAAGACTAATATTTCTGAAACTCACGATAGCAATGTGAAAGTAAATAATAATAAAGACAGACAAGAGTTGGCCCAATTATTTTCTGATACTAAGATCGCGGAAGGCAAAACAATAAAGGCTAAGCAAAAAAAGATCATATATTGGTATACTTATAGAAAAGCTTATCAAAACAATATTGCTGACATTTGATCTAAAACTGGTATTTCTGAGAAAACTGCAAAAAATCAAGTTTATATTATGATTAAAACTTCTTTGTTCAAAGTTTCAGAAGCAAATTTGTATAAAAAGACTCAAAGAACTGGAATAATTTATAAGCTGTTTGGAAAAATTATTGATCCTGTAACCAAGAAAGAAGTTAAGGGAATTAGTATAAATAAAGCTTATGAAATTTTATATGATGCAAGATCTATATCAGAATTAACTGATATTCAGATTTTAAATATCATAAAACAAATTACAGAAAAATTACATGACAGCCAATAGTCAAGATCAAATCAAACCTTTTGACTCAAATAATATATCAAACATTAAGATAAGTATATTATTTGTATCTTATTCTGAATAAATACATCATCTGTATCTCAACCTAAAACAAAAATCTTATCTGGAAAACAAAATAATCCAACTTATGATCATGCTTATTTTCATAAGAGAACATTGGAGCAATATTCCAATTTATATTATAAATATAATAATAAAAATGTTAATTATTATGAGATTATTGCAGAGTCATTATGCCTGATATATAAGTTAATTCATGAGGATGAGGAAGATATAGAAGACAATTATAAAGCTAGATCTTATTATATTAAATATGAATAATATAGAATTGAAATTGAGGTAATAGTATGAACTTTATCTTATGTTAATGCAATTTGCTTAAGTTTTTAGGATGTCTCTCTGAAACATTTTTATTTTTGTTGGTTATTGTTAATTTAAAGTAATGTGCAGTCATATAAAACAGCAATATGAATATACAGATCAAGTTCAATAAAACATTAACTCACAAATATTTGGATTGGCAAGCTAAATTAACTGACTTACCAAGCATTTTGATGGATAAAATTTGTTCCAAATTATATAAAAGATATAAGAAAAAACTGATCATGATCCCTGAAAAATACTGAAACTTCTAGATTCTCACAAATCAAAAATGTTGACAATCATCTTTCACAAGACTGTATTATTAAGATTTTTAAGTTTTCAGAAGAGAAAAATATGATTATTGAAACAGTATATAAATATTTCTCTTTCTTGTCATATAATAATTTGAATATATGATATCAAGATATTTTTAAATTTACTAATCCTAAAGCTAAATGTCTTGTATGTAAGAATGAGTATTCACATCGAGGAATGTGAAGAAATTGGAGTTATCTTGATAAAATAACTACTATTTTTTTAAATACCCTTTCAATATCTACGAGAAAGAAATATTAATTGTTATACAAAATTTGCCAGAAATTTGGATAAGTACTCCATCTTCATCTCAAATTTCAAAAATATTCAATACTTTGATGCTCCTCTCATTCAAGAAGATGTTATCAAAAGAGAAATATAAAGAGGTTATTAACAAATTAATCATACATTTCACTAATTCTCCAAAGTTAGACCTATATTTTAGTATAAATAAGAAAGATGAGCATCAGATTAATTTTTATTGGATTCTAAATTCACATTGTTCATTATATAGAGATAATCATATGAGTTTAGAAAATAAGTAATGGCTAAATAATCAAAGTAAAAAGATATATTATTTACATTATACTAATGCTACGGTTACTTTAAATAAAGGATTTCTTTACTATTAGTAAAAGAGTCATATGAGTTGGGAGAGAGGAATAGATTAATAAGTCAAAGGCCAAGGAGTGGAGCAGTCAGATGAGCAGGCAGTAAAATGGTACCAAAAAGTAGCTGAGCAAGGTCATGCTAGTGCACAATAATAATAATAATAATAATAATAATAATAATAATAATAATAATCTCTCTCTTTCTCTCTCTCTAGTGCAAAAATAAGTATCTAAGCCTGTGTCAATTTTGACAGAAATTGTTAAATAATTCTATCAAGATGAAAAGAGAGATTGGGAGAGTGTGTTCAAAGAGATAATTAACTAATAAGAATTACTAATTAAAGAAAAAGATATTGATATTTCTATACTTGTAATCATATATTCTAGTGCTTTCAATACCAAAGAAAATAAATAACTAAAGAAAAATATTACTTATTTAGAGTTGTGATACACAATTATACAATTAATATTACTTATTTAAAGTTATGATGCATAACTATATAATCAATATCACTTATTTAAAGTTGTAATACATAACTATATCAAAAATAATACTATAGCAAATTAATATACTTATCCAAAAATACTTTAACTGTCTTTTTCAATTTAAAGACAAAAGTAATAATCAGAAATTCAATTCTATACAAATCAATATTTAGTTTCTTGATCTCACTCAAGATTTATGAAAAGTGACTTGAATTACAAATTTGAAGTTCAATCAACAAATTATTTTTGCCAGATAACTTGTTTTGACAAAAGAAGATATAAGAATAAATATTAATTTTATAACAATAAGGCAGTCATTAATTTATTGTATCAAAAATTAAAATTTATTTAAAATAATGGAATTTTGTGTTCCTTTAAGATGTGAGTGGCATTGGTTGGTACATTCTGAGAAAATTCGGGAATACTGAATTTCCTTGGTTTGTCTGTGTCGGATGAATCTGATCCTGAGTCTGGTGATGAATTTTTTGAATTTTTACCGTGTTTCTTATTATTTTTTTTGAACTTTCCTCTTGGTATTTGTTTTCCTTTATTTGATGTCTGTTTGAAAGGTTTATCTATCGATTCTGAATCTGGTAGTCAGCTTCCTCGATTTGCTTCCTTAGCGAAGCTTGATTGCTGAAAATGTTGGTTGTTTTCTTTCTCTTCTGTTCAGAATCCAATTTCTTCTCTTACAAAAGGATTTCCTCATTCATCAGTTTGGTTAAAGGTAGTCATTACTTTTAATTTGTTTATTTCGTTTTGTATTCTCACTGTTAATTCTGCACTTTTCTTTGCGAATTCGTCAAATTTAGACAGACTTTCAAGTGAATTGTTAGGTTGATCAGATGTTTTCTGGCTGATAATTGGTGTTGAAATTCTTTCTATTGATATAGTCAATTCGTGGTCAAATTGTTTTTTGTTGATATCCTTATTCGATCCTTCCGAGCTGGATGCAAATAGAAAACTTTCATTTCTTTGTTGTTCTTCTATTTCAAATAATTCAGTCGCAGTGTTATCATAAATGGGCTGAATATATTGCTCTCTGAAATAATATATATCTTCGTTGAGTTGTCTCAAATATTTATTTAAGAAATGATCTCGAGCTTCAACTGGGCAATTCCTTTTAATATGATAAAAAATACTTCTTTGACTATCTTCTGAGACTGGTGTTCTGTGTTAATGATAGTTGATTCATTCATAAATATAATTCTTTAGATGTAGTTTTAAGATATTAGTTTCATCGATTTGGAAGAAACTTTTAAGTTTTTCGTATTGGATTTCACAGACAAATTGGATTTCTTTTGGAGGTATCACCAGAATGATAAGTGTTTAGAATAATTTTCTTTAAATTATTACCACTCGATTACTTCATATTGACTATTCTTTCTTTTATATTTTAAGATAATGGGGATATCGAAAATAATTGATCTGTGTTGTTCTTCGAGTTTTCTTGGAATCAATTTTTGAAATTCGATCCAAGAGATATTATTTAGAGTTCTTTTGACATTTTCGTTGTCGATTTGGATTTGATATTTTTGTTTCGTCAGTAAGTGTTTGATGATTATTATGTGACTTAATTCACATGTGTGTATACTAAATTTCTTTTTATTATTTTCTTTTGGCATTTAATAGGAGTTTAATATTCTCCTTCAGGTAGATATCATGGATCATCTTTTCCGCTGATTTGCTCGATCCTTCGATATCAAAGTTGATATGTGGTTCCGTCGTGAATGTATGCTTCAATTTCTTGCTCATGGATATGATTGTCAAGGTCGATTTTGATTCCATTTTTGTAGGGTTTCTTGGCTGAGGTAATAAGTATGACGGTGTTACAGCCCAGAATTATCCTTAATTTCTTAATTTCTTAATTCTGATCATGTGACTTAACATAGATTGTAGAGATAGCAGAGATAGCAGAGTTCTCAAACATATCAACATTATCCACTATATCATATTTATTCGACATGTATAACATATTCCACATTGTAATAACTTAGCCATAAATTATTTTATATAAATAAAAGACCTTTTGGATAAACCAAAAGGTATCAATTGATCAATACAAAAATCTAGCTAGTTAATAAATTGTCCTTGTTTATTGTTAATGAAATTTGTACACTTAATTAATTAAAAATAATAACTTATTAAAATACTTGCATTTATTATACACTATTGGATAACTGTCAAAGTTGCTATAGAATATCAGTATTGTATTGCTATAGAACTATCCCATACTAAGTAAACATAATATCTATTAGTAATAGTGAGAGTCTATCTATAAGATAGAAGAAAACGTACTGCATGACAATTCTGAAGTATACTAATTACAACAAGATTGAGTAACCATAAAAACACCATCATTAGATATTGGTTGAACATCTACATCATGATAATACCTATCAGGAGCCCGATCGTGATAACAGATAATGATTTTAGCCTGCATTTATTTAGTTAATATGGAGTTCATTGCTCTTAGAGATCTATCACGCTTTGGATGATCCCCTTGCTGTGAGCACCAAGTGTGACGATGATGCTTTTTGTTGATTGAATTAATAGAAGAGGATCTTCTCTTCTATTTAAATAAATATAAGTAGATTTTCAAATATGATTAAGTCTATTTATGACGAGTGATTATTATAACTAAAAGATATTGTGGATCTTCTTAGTGTAGATAAATCCTAAGTGTGCTTTATATCTTTAGCGATATAATTAAAAATAGATTAAATCAATCAATATAATCAAAGTAATTATGCGTAATAAGATTTTAATTAAAGTGATATAATAATTAAGTTTTATTGATTTTGATATAATAATTATATAGAACAAGTTATTTTGCTAGCTGTACCTTGATCAATTGATGCTTTTTCTTCATAACAAAAGCATCTCTTTATATACAAAATTTCTATATTTAATGCGTCATTTGACTACTAATAATTCATCATTATAGTTTCT